AGCATTTAGGAACTAGAGGAAAGTTGTATGTTTCATCATTGTTACACTGCACCCTGACTGGCTTGTCTCCTCCCTGAAACCCTTCTATAAGGGGATGTCCAGTTGCCTACAGATGGGCTTTGGCTCCCCACTCTGGACTCCCTCTCTTTCACAATTATATTTTTTTGTTCTTTGATGCCTGATACCTGATCCCTTCGACACATCATGATCGCACAGGCTGGTGTGCTTCTTCCATCTGGGCTTTGTTGCTTCAGAGCTAGATGGCTGCTTGTTTACCTTTAAGACCCCTGACGCTATATCTAGAAAAGAAATTCTAAGACTTATATAGTTCCCTACAAATCATCCTGCCTTTGTTGCATGAGACAGACAAAGTGTCATTTGGGGCCACAAAGTATTCTGATAAGAAGTTGTAACATAACATGAAAGTATAAAATAAGAGTGTCATTATACTATTACTTCTGGCTCTCATTTTACTAGTAGATTAGTGTTTTAAGGATGCTATTTATATTGTTTATTCTTCAAACCTCATTTGTTTCTTTTAATTATCCCCTGACAGAGTAAACATGGTGAAAGTCTTAATAAAATGCCGCTGGCTGCTTTCTTAGATGATCTATGTCAGGTGAAGCTAAGAGTGTCTCTCCCAAATTCTGTTCTAGATATTCCTGGGTTACCTGTGTGTCACCTCAATTCTCCTGGCACAAATGCTGAACATTCTAAACTGACTGACTGGCTGAGAGAAAATGGAGCTGATGAAGACACTATAAGCCTGGTAAAGAAAACCGTCTTTGGGTCAAATATTCTTTCACTTCATTTCACTAGAGGTGCTGGTTGGCATAGTGGTTACCCATTGGGCTGTTAACCACAAGGCCAGCAGTTCAAATCTACCAGCCACTCCATGGGAAGAAAGACGGGCTTTCTAGTCCCATAAAGAGTTACTGTGTGAGAACCCCACAGGGGCAGTTCTACTCTGTCCTGTAGGGTCTCTGAATCGGCATGGATTCGATGGCAGTGAGTTTGAACTCAGTATGAGTCAGGGTTGGCTCACTGGTGAACTTATACCAGTAAACAGCACTTTCTGTATGCTCTTGTTGCATGCGAGTCCATTCCAACCCATAGTGACCATGGGACAGAGTAGAACTGCCAGTAGGGTATCCAAGGCTATGTGTTTAGGACAGCTGGTCCGTTCTAACCGACCTATGGATTGGTAGCCAAATGCTTAAATCATTGTACCACCAGGACGCCTTTAAACCAAAACTGAGCCGGCTGCCACCAGGCCTGTTCCAGTACTGTAGGATAGTATAGAACTACCTCCAGGGGCTTCCCAGGCTGAGCCTGTTTACAAAAGCCAGTCGCTACCTCATTCTCTGCGGAGTGCCCATGGACGCACACCCCGACCCTTTCCTTTAACAGCCCAGCTCCTCAACCACTTCCTACCAGGGCTCCTTTCAGGGTTCCTGACTCCCTAGGTGAAGGGAGTTCTAATTCCTCTCGGCTCCTTATAGGCACAAGTAATCAACATGAAGAACAATTGTCTTGAGATTACATGTAGGCTATACACAAATGCACATGTTTGGAAGTTTTATTACCTAATGTTTGTGGAGCAAATCAGACCTGGCCCTGCCCTCCTCAGCATTTTCTTGTTTTATGTTACATATTTAGATATAAAAATAACTTAGAATAAAGATGGATTGACTTGACAGTTACCTGACCACTAAATAAAATATAGATTTTCCTTAGAAATCTGCATTTAATCAGTTACTGCTAAGTAAATGTAACCAATTCTCTTAATAATGGGAAACAATGGATCTAATTGAGTTCTCAAAAACCTTCTTGCCTCTAACTTGGACTCCATTCAGAATTGAGGGTGCTGTTGAAACCAACTGTTGGCAGTGGTTTGGTTCGGACGGTTGTTGCCCAGCCCCGCACCACCTCATAGCCGTTGCTATGCGGGAGCCCCTGCTGCAGCCACTGTGTCAGTCCATCTGGTTGAGGGTCTTGCGTCCCTTCACTGACCCTCTGCTCTACCACGCATGGTGCCCTTCTCCAGGGATGCGGAACAGACAGGCTCAGGAACGGGTTACCCACAAAATCACTGCCCTTGTTATTCCTTTTTTTAAAGTGAAAGCTCCAGTATAAATGTTCAGCACTCTGGTTTTGAGATGAAGTTCGGGAAATGACCTTCATTATCTATGAAAAATAAGTTTAGGAGTTAAGTAGAAGCCACACCTTTCTAGGAACACATTTTATCCATGAGAGTAGAATGAAGCTACAAGGCACTGTACCTCTGAGCAGCAAATGTAATCACAGGTGAGTGCCAGCTGTCCATTAGAAAACCATTGAGACATCAGAATAGAAAATCTGACCATAGGGAATGAGGGGGAGTGCGGAGTGGGGACCCAAAGCCCATTTGTAGGCCACTGGACATCGCCTTACAGAGAGGGTCTTGGGGAGGAGATGAGCCAGTCAGGGTGCGATGTAGCATCAATGAAACATACAAGTTTCCTCTAGTTCCTAAATGCTTCCCCGCCCCCCACTATCATGATCCCAATTCTACCTTACAAGTCTGGCTAGACCAGAGGATGTACACTGGTACAGATAGGAACTGGAAACACAGGGAACCCAGGGCGAATAATCCCTTCAGGACCAGTGGTGTGAGTGGCGATCCTAGGAGGCTAGAGGGAGGGTGGGTTGGAAAGGGGGAACCGATTATAAGGACCTACATGTGATCTCCTGCCTGTGTGATGGACAACAGAAAAGTGGGTGAAGGGAGACGTCGGACAGGGCAAGATATGACAAAATAATAATTTATAAATTATCAAGGGTTCATGAGGAAGGGGGGAGTGGGGAGGGAGGGGGGAAAGTGAGGAGCTGATGGGGGTGGTGTTTAGGTGGAGAGCAAATGTTTTGAGAATGACGAGGGCAATGAATGTACAAATGTGCTTTACACAATTGATGTATGTGTGGATTGTGATAAGAGTTGTATGAGCCCCTAATAAAACGATTAAAAAAAAAGAAAAAAACATTTAGAAATTCTGAGTCGCTTGTGATTGGTACGTTATGCATTTGTGAAAGTCAGATGGGTACATTTCTTTGTAATTGCCTTGTTCGGAGGGTGTTTTTCCCTTAATAATTCTAGATTATGTATCTTAGCATAATCCCTTTTAGATGTGTTTGTTATTGTTGCCATGGTTTACATTTGGGGCAACTGACTACTCACTGAAGGGCTAGCCAAAGTCTTACTTCTGCACATGTTTTCCTCTCTCCAGTTTCTGGCTGAAGATTACACATTGGTGGATGTTCTGTACTACGTTACGCGTGATGATTTAAAATGCCTGAGACTAAGGTACCACTTTCCTTTCTGTTGTCACGATGGAAAGAACACTGGGCTGAGTTCAAGACTGGGGTCCTTCCTGGCTGGGTCCCTAGCTCACTGTGACATCCTGGGCAAGCTAATCTCTTTAGATAGTAGACCAGGCACTTACTGGGGGCTGGGGTGGGGTGGGGTGTCTATTAACTAACCATGCTTTCGAGACCAGGCACTTACTGGGGGGTGGGGTGGGGTGGGGTGTCTATTAACTAACCATGCTTTCGACGTGAATAAATGCAAGTCATCTGGAAGACTTGTCCTGCATCACCAGGTAGACCTTGGCCATGCATACACTAAAGATGCCTTACACAATGCTCTAGTTTAGCTCACTGTGCCAGACTTATTAAAACAATTAGGATGAGATACTAACTTGCCACCCAAAAGCCTGATAAAATTTCTTAAGAGTTACCAGGCCAACCATGTCTGTAACGATCACTCATACCACCTCTCTCAAGACATATTTCAAAAGTGCTGGTGTTTTGAAATGAGGCTGGCCGGTTGTGGGAGTAGGGAGGAAGCAAGGGGTGAAGGAAGAGTGAGAAAAGTACAAAAAGAATACGGGATGACCAGTAAGATGTTGGGATCTTGAGATTCTGATCAGAGGGCAGAGAGCTAGGAAGTCATTGATATTGCAGGAGCAGCGTGTCACTGAACTGTCCCGTCATGGTCTGTCTTTCCAGAGGGGGGATGCTGTGCACGCTGTGGAAGGCCATTGCCGAGTTCCGAGACAAACAGCCTTGACTGCCACTGGACTATGTCTGGCCTCGGTGGAAATGCTAAACATGAATACAGCACGGATCTTCTTGCAGAAGGGGGAAATCCAAGGGAGAGGAGGAAGAAGCTGCACTTTAAATCCAGTATTTGTTTACTGATGTTAGGAAGGAAGATGTTAGGAGGGAAGGGAAGAAATAGACAAAACACACTGAAATTTCCTAATTGCTTTTATTTCTGTAATTCAGAAGGACTCTCTTCAAAGAATGTTGAGGATTATTTTTGTCTAAATCATTTTTTTTTTTAACCTGGAAATCTTAACTCCGCAGCTATTGCACTTCAGCCCATGTTTATTTCACACAAAACAGACAGACCCTTTCATGTGACTGTGCACCACTGGAACCAAACCAAGATGTGACCGTGACTTCTGAGCTTCTTGTGTGTCTGTAATCTGTCCCCGTCTGGAGTAGGAAACGCAGACCGCCAGTGCCTGTATACAGCTTTCTCTTGCAGTGTGCCAAGTCTGAGCGCAATGGTTTTTACTGCCCTGTATTCACTGTAATATTGACTGTGTTTTTGTAACGTGCGTTTCTGGCCTGTAGTACATTCATGTGAGTCGTCTGTGTTACTACTGAACTGTACCAGTTGCACATGCCTGAACCATAGTAATGTTAGCTTGTTCTAAAGCTATCCCTTGTGTCATAGAGACTCTCAAAAGTAAAAAAACCTCGCAGCACGTGGCTGTCGTCCATGCCAAAGGGTTCTTTTGTCAAGCTCATTGAACTGGGTGTCAGACGTCTGGTCGTTTCTTCAGCTACGACATTGAGTACCATTTTCTACTTATTCAAATCACGAAAGAACTACTGACTGCTAAGCGGTTCCGAGAGGCCGCAGAAGGGCTGGAGAGATGGTGAATGAGAACACCAGCTAGGAAAAAGCATGGAATGAGAGTCAGTGTATTTCCACAGGGTTCTTTGACTGGTGACTGTAGGCCCCCAAAGGATTTGTAGATAGCAGCCTGATGGAAAACACTGAGTTTTCTATCTCCTTAATTATAGTTCTCATATTTGGGGGCTATTTTTTATTTTATTTTATGAAGAATATTATATTTTTGCGAGCCTGCCCATGTGAACTGGAATGAAGTCAGAAGCTCTTCGATGGACGAATAAAATGAGTACACTTTTTGAATGTGTTTATTATACAAGATAGAAATAATATAAGCTTACTCGTATATCTTGACCCCTATGTAACACTCTTCAACAAAGCTGGTGTTGTATTTCTTTGTGAAAATCAAGGTACGGTATTAGCTTATATTGCATTATAGCTTGCAAAACATTCTCACGGATATTTTCTCATTTGTTATTTGCAAGAGCAGCATGGCTGCATTATCTGTGCGTCCTCGTCCTGACGAACGACATGGTGGTGGCTCGAAGGAGCTAGATTGTAACTTATGCTGAAAGGAGGGAAACTTGTTTATGAGCCACCGTGCATCTCACTGGCTAAGCGCTTCTTTTCGGTCTGTCCGAACAAGGGTCAGGGTACCTGAAATGATGTGGGGCCAGTCTGACGTCCTCGGACGCCAAAGGGGAAGGAGACTCCAACTCCACAGCTGTCTGAGGGCAATTCCCATGAGGCAGGGGTCAGACAAGCCTCCTCTGTCCATCCTTCGTTTTTCTTTTCGGACACCCACTGTCCCTCCCACACCGTCTGCTCTGCTGGCTTTGATAATCTGTTGCAGTGGCCACCCAGAACTCAAAGAGCCAGGACTCACGATTATGAGGGCAGGTTACAAAATGATAAGGATACAGTTCTTTTATTCACAGCGCCTCATTTCAGCTGGGCCAGCAGGCAGATCGTTCTAGGGTTCGCGGCCTCTCAGCCTCTCAATCCCTTGGCCTCTGCCCTCCTTGGGCAAGTGCTGCAAAGCTCTGTCAGCACCGCCAATGACTGCGGGCACTCCGCTTTACGTGTCCCGTGGGCCAGGAAGCCGCCGCTCTGCGCCATGGTCTCTGCTGCTGCTTGCAGGCATCTCTCTCACTTCCGGTATGGCTCACTTGATGGTCAGTGGAAGGGGCAACTGACCAAGCCCATCTTTAGAGTCCACTTCACCTTATTGGCACGATCTTACCCAGTCATTTGATGGGAACAAAAAAGACTGATAGATGAGCCATACTAAGTCATCTTACTCCACTGCATCACCCATCCTCTAAGATCCCCTAGTGACTCAACTATTAAGCACTCTGCTGTTACCTGAAAGGTTGGCTTCACCAGGAAAGGCCTGGGGATCTGCTCCGATGATGATGACCACCTAGAAAACATGATGGCAGTTCTGTCAGTCATATGATGGTCGTTATCAGTCAAAATAGATTTACCAGCGCTCAACAACAGCCCATCTTAAACCAACTCTCCAACAAGACCATCTTTCCTGGCTGCTACTCCCTACTTGGTTCATAAAGACATTCCCAGGCCAGCATCACGAGGCTTCTGTCAGAATTCTGAGTACCAATCAGAAGGAGGCAGTTCCATCATGTCTCAAGGTTCATGAAAGCTCTGCACTACAGAGACCTTCAGCCTCAACTAAGCCAGTGGTTCTCAACCAAACATTAAAATGACCTTGGTACTTTTTGATAACTATTGATGTCAGGACCCCACCTTGGAGCAACTAGACGTTTTTTTAAGTATCATCAGGAACTTAACATGTTTTAGTCTCAGGCAGGAGCCCTGGTGGGACAGTTGGTTACATAGCTATTGGGTGACGCATTGGGCTGTTACGTACAAGTTCGGCAGTTTGACCCCACCAATCTGCTCCACAGGAAAAAGATAAAGGCTTTATGTTCTCATAAAATTTATAGCCTTAGAAACCCAAAGAGGCGGTTCTACTCTGTTCTATACGGTTGCTCTGAGTCGGAATCAACTTGATGTCAGTGGGTTTGGGGATTCAGTTCTCCTGCCTTCAAATGACACCTGGGGAGGGAATGTCCTTTTCCACACAGAGGGTGTTAAGATGGATACTATCCAGTTTCCAAGTAGTGTAGCCAAAGGTAGTGCAGCACACAGGCCTGGTGCAACACTACTGACCTTGGGCAAATGACTCCAAGGTCTTAGTTTCCTCATCTGGGGAAATGGGGAAAATAATGTCCTTTCCTCTTTGGTTGCTACAAAATTTAACTAACAAAATTCAGGTGAGACGCTTAGTATAATGCTTAGCATATAGTAAGCACTCAGATGCCACCTGCTCTTGCTATCATTCATTCTACATTAAATGTCTAATACGTACTATACTACAAGTGGTACGTGACCATGACACAGTTTGTGATACGTTTTGTGACAATTTGGCTGGGCCAAGACTCAGTTTGGCGGGTGAGGCCTCCCCATTGATGTGACCTAACAGAACAACTCCTTGAAGGGATTGTGTAACGTGGGAAATTAGGGTGGAGTGCAACCCCTTAATCAGGTCACAGCCTGATGATATTTCCTTGGGGTGTGGCTACATCATATCTGTCCATAAACAGACACTGCTGGGACCCCCTTCCCCTTTTTCCTGCTGGTCTGGATCCTGCATCTGGCTTGTTGGGACTTGAACCAGTAGCCTGCCCTGTAGACTGGGGTCACTTGCCATGTTGCCTGCTTTCGATTCATTTGACTCAGCCTCCACTAAGCTACTTCTACAGCTGTGTGTACATGTGTGTGAGGAACTTTCATAGCCTCTTAGACAGACATAATGCCCATCAAGTCATATGCAGACAGTACACATGCCGTCAAGGACACATGCATCCTGAGAACCAACAACCAAACCAGAAAACAACGATATTTCCAGATTTCACGGAAAAGTAAGCACGAGCTCCTGCAGAAGATAATTCCTACTGGGACTAAAAGGAGATTTACAGTGTGTCTAGTCTGTGCGAGGATCTGAGTGAGTGGTAAGCCCAACTGGAGGTTCACAAGACAGTCTTGCTTGGAACCCGGGGAACTGGTTTCTCGGAGGACATCGACCTTCATCTGGGTCTGGCAGGGAAGGTAATTTTTAAATATGGCAGGGTTGGGAAGTCACTTTGGGCAGAGGGCTTTAGGAATAAAAGCTAAATTTATAGGGTGTTCTGGAGAAAATGAGCAACCCATTAGCTGGAACTAGAGGAAAAGAAGTAAAAAATACAGTAGGGGGGAGCTCAGGAGTCATTGGGGGCAGTGAGGAGACCAGGGAAGGGAATGGACTTCAGATGTCAGGTAGAAATGGGAAATGTGTAAAGGCTTTGGAGCAAGGTGTGTGTGGGGGGTGGGGTGGGTGTAGAGTGCTGGTGGGATAGTAGATTCAGTAAACGGGAGGGTACGGTAGAGAAGCTCAGAGACTGTTCAAGATGCAGGGATGGAGAGGATGGACACAAAGCAATGAAATGACAAAACTTGGGGACTACGGGGAGTGTTAACAAGGGAGAGGAAAAGATACAGGCTGCTCCCTTGTGAGGAAGAGAAGTCAGATACCAGGATAGTGTGCTGGGGAAGCTGGTTGGAGACACACTGCCTTTATATTAATAGCAAGGAATCATAGGAGAAATAGCCCCCTGAGAATCTAGTGGTGCAAGTCAGGGTTGACATGGGATTCTATGAGCGTGAGCCCCCCAAACACATTGCCGTCAGGGTTCCAATTCATACATGCATAGGTTCACTCCAAAGTATTTTGAAACATGTCTCTGTGATTGATGACTACAGAGAAGTTCTCCAAGTATTACATGCTTCTTAGGCTCTTTGGGGTACCTTCAAAAAAAAGAAAAAAAACACTCATGCCATGGAGAAAAACAATTTTGAGGTTCAGGATAATGTCTAACAAAACTCAAGTGAATATCTTCAAAATCACAGAGGCATTAGAACATACCTACAGGAATGCTGGCCCATATAAAACAAGTTTGTAGATCGATTCGAGCATTTTAAGGAAGGTCGGGACAACCCCAAAGATGAGCAGAAAGAAGGAAGACTATCAACTTCGATGAATGAAGCAACTGTGAAGTTCTAGAAACAGGTGGAAGGCAATCATAGAATCATCACCGCTGTGATCCCTACTGACGTTGGGTCCTCGCATGGCTAGGCATTTTCCATTTTAAGTGAACTTCTTGGCCTCAACAAGCCTTCCATTCAATGGGCACCCAAGGCACTGTGTGAGGATCAGTAGTACAAAGCTGATTTTCCACCAATCTTTTGAGCAAGATTGAAGCTAATGAAGGCAGTTTGGGGGAGAAAAAGAGAAATCATAACTGACTAACCGCATGACCCAGAGAGCAAGAGCCAATCAAAACAGTGGCTTCTAAGGGATCTGCTGGACCAGTTAAATCCAAGGCAGAGAGATCCGTTATGGCACTTGTTCTTTTTTTAAATCACTTTATTGGGAGCTCTTCTAACATCCCATACATCAATTGCATCGAGCATATTGGTGCATAGGTTGCCATCATCATTTCCAAAACATTTTCTACTTGAGCCCTTGGTATAAGCCCCTCTTTTTCCCCTCCCTTCTTTGTATATCTTTGATCAGTTATATATATTGTTATTTCGTATCTTACACTGTCCATTGTCTCCCTTCACCCCCATTTGTTATTCTTCCCCTTTGGGGGGGGGGGTTAATATAGCTAATCTTGTGATGGGTTTCTCCTTTCTCATCCTTCCCCCTCCCTGACCATCCCCTCCCCTCATGGTATCGCTACTCCCATTACTGTTCCTGAGGGGTTTCTCTGTCCTGAATTCCATGGGTTGAGAGCTCTTATCTGTACCAATGTGCTTTCTCTGGTCTAGCCAGGTTTGTAAGTTAGAACTGGGTCATGGTGTGTGTGTGGGGGGTGGTGGGGGTTATTCAGAAACTAGAGGAATGGTGTGTGTTTTGTCGGTGCTATACTGTACCCTGGTTGAATCATCCCTTCCTTTTAACCCTTCTGTGGGGGGATATCCAATTACCTACAAATAGACTATGGGTCTCCACTCCAACACCCCTCTTTCACATTGATATAGTTGTTTGTTTTGGATCTTTTGATGACTGATGCCTGATCCTGTCAACATCTGATCACACAGGCTGTGTGTGCTTCCATGTGAGCTTATTTGCTTCCCTGCTAGATGGCTGCACCCATTTGTCTTCAACGATCATGTCAGGAAGGTGGCCTTTGTTCTTGTAAGATTCCCAAGGGCTACTTCTGATAGGTTTTCTCAGAGGACGCAGGATGATCACAGGGATTTATTGTGAAGCAGTGGTCCAGAAGATTGAAAACGGCAGCAGTGAGGAAAGGGTCACGAGAGTTGCACCAGGGAATACTTTCCCACCCTAACGATGTACTGCTCATCTTCGACGGCTGTCCCAGTA